AGGATCCCTCTGACACTCACTCTGTCTTTCTCTTGTATGCCCTTTTCTCATTTCTTCTCGGTTTTTCTCCAGTAAATACAGCAGAAAACCTAAAAGAGACAAGAATTCCTCTCCATGAACAAAATAATCTATTTTCTCGCCTGTTGCGTAATAACTATTTCAGAATTTAATTTGATTCAATAAAAAGAAATACTGCAATCAATGACAGAGAAACATCGTAGAAAGTAACAAACTGGAAATATTCCACCTGAAGGACATCTCGCTAGTGCTCCTTGTACGTTAGTCCTTTAGTTGGAGAGGTACTGATTTAACAAACCTAGCCACACATTTTGGTAAATATATGGAATACACTTCTTTAAAAGCTAACCCTAAGAGGATACTGATAGCTTTAAGCAGCAGGCGCAGAATCACTGCAGGCTAATATACAGCACCATTCATTAGCTTAGTTTGAAAGGAGATTTTTAAAAAGCTGGAAGTTGGAAATAGTTATTAGACAAAAAGCCTACATTACAGACATTGGTGTAGTTTTTAACAGGATCTGGTAATGTGTGCATTGATTGGTAAAGCAATTAAAATAGCCTGTGAGATGACTGAATGATAATAATAATAATAATTATAATAGTAATAATAATAAGAATGTTTAATGCTATATAAATGGCACATGCAATATCACCATTTAAAGTCCACTTGAAAACATTTGTTTTTATCTTTAAAGCTACTGTGGTCATACATATCAAGTAGGGTTTTTTTCCAGTCAGGGGTGATATCACTACAGGAAGAAATTGAGATGCATGCTCACATCTCCTTGAACACGCACATGACCTTCCTTTTAGAAATTCCACGATGTGACATGATCCATTTCAGTGTCTTTGATTTAATGTGGTAATCCTCTCATCATACAAACATGAAAACACTTTTGATGTCTCTTGTTAAATACTGACAGCTAGTCTCCCACACTCATTAACCCTTTTGTGACCTGGTTGCACCCTGATGCTGTTGCTGTTCTTGTTCGAATTCAATTTCATTCTTCTGTAGGATAATTAGCTTTGACAGCTGAGGGTCAAATGCACAAAAATATGCACATACACATGTGAGCCAATATAAAGGTGCTGCATCACTGCAGTGATGCAGCACAGTTGAGGTCAGAGCTACAACACAGAGTGGTCCTGACACCATTTCCTCTCATAGAATCAGTCCTGAGCCTTGTTTACTGGAATTGCTCTTCCACAGCTGTGCCAGTGTTGCTTTGGTATTCAGTAGGGTGCATTGGGATTCAGGTGAATGCGATGTAGAGCATGTAATCCAATGTTATTCAGCTTTATACTGCATGCAGTAGTTGGAAAATTGGGGGATCAGGTGTGAAATGTTCTCCATTTGTATGTAGGCCAGGGGGGCAGGATGAAGATGCATAAGTCGACAGGCTGATGTGAGAGAACTCACAAATGTTGCTTGTTGTAACTGTCCATGCACATTTTTTAATTGCCCAGCTCAGTGTTATTTTATTGAGTAATATGAATAGTGATGACAATGGTCGTCATTGATAATGTTTGATGATGATGTGTGTCCCGTGTTTGGGCTAATTTGTGAAAATTTCCAAGAAGTTCAAAACTAATTCTGCTGAATGTCTCTTGTGTTCGCAGAATTGCCATGCTCACACTTCTGACAGGGCTCCAGATTTTTCATGTCCGCTCTGTCTTGTCGGTCTGCTTGCACTCTTCATATTATTTCACATACCTTACATCTAAACTTCCTCTTCTTCTGTCTCTCTTTTCTACAGTGTGGCAAAGGAGCAGAGAACTTTGACAAGTTTTTCACGCGCACCCAGCCCCAGCTCACACCACCAGACGAGCTGGTTATCGCCAACATCGACCAGGCTGAGTTTGCAGGGTTCTCTTTCATCAACCCACAGTTTGTACACCCGTCGCTCTGTAACAGCTTATGAGAAGGATGGGGAAACCTCCCCGAAGAACCTCCCTGCTCACTGCTACCCACTTAAACCAACCGCCAAACCAACATCTGACCACAACTTGATCAAGCCACCCACTTTAAACCTTTATGTATTGGTTTTTATTCAGCAGCAATCTAGGGGCTTGCATATATGTTCTGTATGATATATATCTGCCATATAGATTATATAGATTAGATTAGTTCTTGGCCATCACAAGAAATAATTTCCTTTAGTTTAATGATAAGCATGTACCGTAGACCTACTACTTAGACAGAAGGGTGTCAGGCTTTAATTATCTATTCCAATATATGATGAAATTGAGAGAATGAACAAATCTATGCCTGTATGATAAAAGCAACATAATGTTAAAGGAGCATTTGAGGCATGGATTAACTAATTCTGGAAAAGATGCCTGTGCAACTCTTCATGCTTACAAATCTCAATGGATAAACATGCTCTACAGATCTAGCTGGGGTCGCATTTTGTTTTTGTATGGATAATTATCACAATATAGATATTATATGATGACCTGAAAAACACTCTTATAAGTCAGTGTAGCCAAATATGAAGGTGACAGGTGGTGCAGGCGTTGAAACAGCCCCTTGTGATTCAATGTTTCCTGTACCATGTTTACAGTTTTCTTCCCCTTTGATTTCATGGTTATGATGTACAATTCTACTTTAGTATAATTTGATTCTTGCCAGTCTCAACTTCCAGTGTACGTAGCAAATCAACTAAAGAATGAACACGTCATGTAATTACATAATAATGCAGCATGTAATAATGCAAATATGTCAGACACATACATGTAGGAATTAAAAGTTTGTCAGGGTTGGTTCCAATTTGTCAAAACCTAACTTAGCTCAACTATCACCATATTTTACCTGCTTTAATTTCCCACACATCCATTTTCTAGCCCTAACTGCAGATTGTGTACTTCCCGTGTCAATCATTTTGTGGACACTATGTGGACATACAGTAAACAGTAATCAGTTTAGTATGTGGCAATAACATTCTTATATCTACCTTATGAAAAAAAAAATCAAACCTAAAATATTTATAGTTTGTGGTAACCACCATCTCTGTCCCATGCTGTGCCCATAATTACAAAGCCTCCCATTGGTTGTAAATGTCTTAACAGTAAAGACATTTTGATAAACTGTTAGAATATTATGTCATTGTGTATTAACCATGCAATCTTATATTGCATACAGTATCATGCCCTCAAGTGTAGATAAAACACATTTGTTAGGTTGCTTGGATACAGAAGTTGTAAATCAAAAGGAGCATTTCTTCTGACAATGCTTTGTTGTCCTGAGAACAAACTTGTTCTTCTTAGTCTGTCAACACGATCATTATCAGTTAAATAATTGTTTTGTTTCTCTTTGTGTTCCTTTAATGTCTTTAAAGATAGATACGTTTTTAACCTCCTCTTCTTTTGTGATCTCATACATATTTTTCCATTAGATCAAATTAATATTTTACTGTATCTTATATCAGTGCATCACTCCTTTGTAAATAATCATGAGTTATTTAAAAAGAGTATAGCAAGTTACAGTTTTTATACCAACACCTGAATGTGCTTTTATTACATTAATTATATAAACAACAAAAAAAGTAACCCAGTACAGATCAACTTTGTAACAACTGGGTGTCTTTAATAGAGTCCAGATTTAGCAAGTTGTGAACTTAATCTGTTCTACTTGTTTTGGCAGATTTATAAAAATCTTTTTTGTTTTTGTTATTCATATTCAATTATTTCGACTGCTAATTGTGTGTTGATGCATTGGATGCGTGTCTGGCTGTTGACTGTCCTTGTGTATCTGCATGCTGTTGGTAGGCATCATTCATGCACGTGATCTGCCAAATGCTGCATGCTACTAAGTATAAACCCCCTAAGAGTTACAACCTCAAAGTGATACTTCACCTAAAATCTAACTTTAGACGTTAAAACTTGTATTTTTGAAAGTTTGTACCTGTTTTGTCCTTCTTTAAGAATAGTGGCCAGGTTAGCTTAAATTCATGTTGATTACAATGAGTTCCAATAGTGACAGCTTTTTACATTGGGGGAAAAAAAGTGTCAAAATGTCTCAGCCCACTCCTCTCTGTATGTATAGTTTATGACATATTTCTGCTAAAACAGAAATCATCTGTCTTAGTCCTCCTTTAGCTTGTTTGTAGGTCCGGTCAGGCCTATGGGAGGTGAATGTTTGATACTCAAAAGATGGATTTAGGGTAAAGTATCACTATAAGCATTTTACCATTTAAGATGGTCATTACACACCACAGTCCAATACCTTAAGAGTGCTGATCTTAGACCAGCTACTCTTTAAGAGGTGATTGTGGGATTTTAAACTAAACTGAACACAAGTCAAGTTTCAATGACACAGTCTTGCAACAGTAATGAAACACCAAAGTCCTAACGCTCAGGCACATTTGTAAACTATGTGTGACGACAGGTATGAGGAACAACAATGATTTTGATAAAATAATGCAGATCACAGGGGCTAAAGACCTCAGAAAAAAAATTTATTACAGTTTATAAATTTAAATAGATGCTAAATTACTTTTTAAAAGACTTTCCTGACACAAAGTCCCTGTGTTACGTCCCCAAGATGTCTAGGGGTTGTGATAGTTCTAGATCAGTCTTGTCTTTAGAAGCTTTAAATATATACAAACACACATTATGACCCCTGGTTCCTTTTGCCTTACCTATTTGGGGCGATGTGGAACCCAGATCTGTGGTGAGTTGTGCACGGCTTATTGCTAGACCAGTGGGACCACTCGCTCTCTAGTGTAAGGTTTATGTTCTAATCCTAATGTGGTGTTTTTGTCACTCTGTTCAAAATTTTGTTAATTTTTTTTTCTTTTTCTTTTTGCTTTTGCTGTTGTCAGTTGCTGTCAGTGTTGTCAGTTTTATGTCCCTAGCTTCTGCTCAAGAAAATTCAGGAATGTTTTAAAGGATATATCACATAAGTCAACTCATATCTGACTGATATAGATAGGAACTATTGGAATGTTTGTAATGTTTCCTCCATGTTTTTTCTAAGTCGTGTTCTCCTACTGTGTTTCCTATAGTATATAACCTTTTGCATGTGCCAAACCTGGAAAACGCCAGAACCCAACAATAGCAGCGTTGCACTAGCTGTAGTCATGTGGATGACTTTGTGGCAACTGAGACCTGCCTAAAGCCACACCTGTCGTTTACTCTGTTGGCCACATAACATATACAGTAGCATGCTGCCATGAGTATACCAGTGCACATTGTGTCAGTACACTTTACAATGCCAGTCAGTTTGATAGATGACTTAACATACACTGCACTAGATTTTCCTGCCTGTGTAGCCTTGGGAAGAATTGTCTATGAAAAACATTTCAACTTGTGGAGCATTTGATTTAACATCCACAATGAATTTCTCAGAAGTGAGAGAAAATATGCTTTGTACATATTCTGAGTTAACTCAACAACAGTCTAAGTTGCACCTCTGTATGTACTGACTTAATAGTCTAAGTCCGTCCCTTTAATAGAATCTCTGATGACTTGCTTCCCAATCTTCTGACTTAGAAATGTTTTTTAAATGTCACAGACAGTGTGGGCATGAAAAAAAAATTACCTACTCTCCCCGTGTGTGCCTTTCCCGACTTGAACAGATATACTGTACATCTTCCTCTTAATCCTCATTGTCTTTGTTCTGATCTAAATTCTCTGCTCCATTTTTACTCCATACTTTTACTACGCTTACTGTACTGTTTTAATGAATTGTCAAAGTAGCCTAGTTGAAGTAAATGTACTCAGTTTTTACTTTGTTTTATGCCATGTTAGTGTTCTAGCACATCTTGCAAATTAATGAATGTGAATAAAATTCTATAAATCTGAATTTTAAGCACATTTTGTTACCTGACGCCAATAACCTTTACAGTCATAGAACTACAACTTGACTTGATCCTCCTGTGTCTGCCTGCTTTACCTTTACCTCCCTGTGCCTATTACTGACCGAATGATGTATGTAGTGAGTTAATGAATACATGTATCAACAACGTTAAAGGAACGTTAAAACAATGAACGGGTGATTGATGGGGTTAAGTTACATAAGTGAAAGGATAGATGATGATGATGGTTTGTTTGAAGAACAACCCCGTGCCTGGTCACTTTAAACCCTACCTCCCGTGCCGTGTCTTGTATGCCCTCTTTCACTCTACCTGTTACTCCTTCCTCAGTGCCTGGGCCAAGTCAATCCATCATCTTATCGACAGTGTCCTTCTCCTTTCACCCTTTTAATCCCATCAGGTCAGGAAAGCAGTTGATTTTTCTTGTGCAATTCACTCAACACAATTGGCATCAATTCCACCCTTTCCTCACCTCTACTGGTCCCCCCTAATGCACCATGGGAAAGGAGTTAGCCAAATGTATTTGGTGTTTTGCTTTGTTTACATTCTATTTGATGTCATCACCTTTTTGTTTTTAATTTAATCAATTAGGATGTCCAGAAAATGGTTAAGTAACTGTTATTTCTTACAATACTCCTTTTAGGTGGCTGTTTGATTTAGTTGAATTTTGTTTTACGTCTTTCGTCTTTGTAGTTAGTCATTACTCTCCGCTGTGTCCTGTTCGCTGTGAAACGAGAGAGTTGAGGTTGAGCTGCCATCTTTTTGGCTGTACAACACAGGATCAATGATGTGCAGGAATGCCTTATTCCTTAACCCTTACAGTAACCTAGTCTCTAACTCCTTCTCTCTTTGTTCATTTATAATCTCAGCACCCCTGTCCTTGTACATAAAAGACTTACAGTAGATATCTACATAGACTGTAAAAGGAAGAATATATTGTATTTTGCAAATTGTGTGTTTGTTTTCTTCCCTTGTCACCCCGAAACCTTTAAAATGAGTCTGAGCTACTTACCTTGTAATTGATTGTGTCATTTGTACCTAATGTATGATAATGCAAATAAAAAAAGGAAAATGAGGTCCTTCATTCTGCAAGTGTTTTTTATTTTTATTATTATTATTTTTACTACTTGTAACTGTAAAACTTAATCAACACATTATATTGCACTGAATCATAAGGTGGTATTCCTATGCTGCAATTTGTTTCAGATTTTGGATTTCCCCTCAACTGGGAAAAGGTGCATGTGGATCTGTTTTGAGAAATGTGACTGTGACATCACCTCGCATTACAGTGACACACAGGTTTTTTCATTTAAAAGTTAGCAAAAAAAATATGGTTACGAAGAAACTTGTGTTCGTATGCATGATTATGGTAATATACACGATGTATGCATATGGGGGCATGTAAGAGTGTGTTTTTCTATCCATATGCAGAGGTGTGAGTTTGTGTGGGGGTGGTTGATCGATTGTGTGTACGTTCCAGGCTTCTTCATTAGTTGGATGGCTGAACTGGAGCTCTGGTGATGGCAGAGGGGTGTTAGTGATGGAAGACAATAGTGTAGCACTCACTGCTGTCAGAAGTCATCAGGGTTACCTGGACTGAGAAGCATCACAACCTGGCTGTCTGAGGCCTGACTGACACTGCAAGATCTCTACTAGATTTCACCTAAATTAGGCTGAGAGCACACCTGGGGCTTTCTTTTTAGGCAAGAAAAAGATTTATGTTGAGCCCATTTGCTCATTTAGGGCTATACTAAGTTCTTAGGAGCTTGCTCCAATTGTAACCTTTTTAAATGCATGTGTTGAGTGTTTCAAATCAAACAAACAGATTATTTATTTTCATGAAACCCAAGCTGAAGCCATGACAATTGCTGTGCTTCCCTATAGCAATAGATCATAATGTAACATCTGTTATTTTTTTTATACAGTTAGCATCCTGTTGTGTCTTTTCCAAAGAACAAGATGTACATAACAGGGATAAATATTGTATATGCTTTTTCTCCTGTCCAGACAGAGTTTTAAGGTACTGTATGCTCGGTTTGGGAAGAGATAAACTGTAATGCTCAGAGAAAAGGAACAAGAATATAAAGAAAGTTATTCACAGTCAGGTGTTCACTCAAAGAAACAAAGACAGTTTGCAGTTTTTGCCGCAGGTCCCCATTATTGTATTGATCATTGAAAAGTTTTCCACTAATTTTTTCCAACCTTGACCTCTCCTCGGTTTTGGACTCTCCTCTATCTTGTTAGTCACTATACATATCCTCAGACTCTTGATAGCTTTCATCTATCTTAGTGATGTTTTCTCAAATGAGGGCCCATAATTACCATAGCTCCTTGCTGGCAGACAGCCAATGTCCTAAATGGTGGCTTAGAGAGATGGGAGGCAGTTTGTTAGATTTTACAACACATCAAAGCTAAGTTTCCAGTCCTTTCTTTACTGTTCTTTAATGTCAAGTCAGTGTGTCAAATTACTACTAAATTAGTAGATTAGTAAATTACTTGGCACTATGCAGCCGAGAATCTTCCCAGTTGTGTTTAATTTATATGACTTCATTACAATTTGTTCATTGGTTTAAAATTTGGATTTCTTCTCTCCTGTGTTGTAACACTGGTGACACATACTGTACACAATGATTGAACTTCATTTCTTCACATATTTTCTGACAGTGTATATAGCTGCCATGTGATTAGAGAAAGCCCTGCAGTGTTGACTGTGGAGCCAGCTGGTGTGTGAGCTTTTGTTTAACACTATGTTTTTCAGTCCACTGGTTTCTCTCATTCTTCCTGTATCACAGACAAATACATACTATACACACATATTCGGCCTAACTTCATCTGTTATTGAACTCCCAGAGCCAAGTCATATACAACCATATTGCTCTGTTATGAAACTGTTATGGCCCTAAGTAAAACAGATGCTTTATCGTTACAGTCTGATACACATTTGTATCTTTGTGAATAATGACTAAGCCGGGGTGTTGTGGGAAGCTGGACTGAAGGATTTATGTTTGCATTATGTAAAGAAATGAAGAAAGAAATGAAAAAAAAATAAAAAATATATATAGCACCAGGTTTTTCTGAGTCTGCATTTCAGCAAAATTGTGTCCAAATAAGAGCTTTAAAAATGGGGTTTTTCACATATATTGCACCATAAACCTACAAATGACTTGTATTTCAAGTTCTATGACAGCTAACTAAGAGACACGCTTTGTGCTGTACATCCTCATGGGCAGATCATGGTGTTTCACTTTTAAAGCCTTTAAGAAATTCTCACTTCACCTCGATCTGGTCAGCAAGGGTTGAGTATTTCCTAAACACTTGAAGGATGCCAGGAAAGTTTATGTTTGCCATTAGTGTTTAGCCTGGAGGAGCCTGGTTTTTTGCTGCTGGCGTTGATGTTTGGTTGTCAAAGCAGTGGAGAAAATAGCAGAAGAGGGAATATATTTGCTTTAAGAGTGATGACAAATGATGGAGGAGAAAGGAGAAAACTTCTGACAGAAGAAGTGATGCAAAATTGGAGGAGAAAGGTCCTAGTTGCCTTCCTGTGAGGACAGTGAAAGGTTATGTAAAAGGCCAAGTCAGAGCCAAGCTGATAACAGCCTCTTCATTCACTCCTATGATCAGTCGGGAACAGAATGTGGTGGTTAGTCATGGATGGGATGGGATTCGCCAGATGCTCCTAAATGACTGAATGAATGTCCATATGCTCAAAGACAGTCAGGCAGCTTGGATGCCGTATAAATCTGTGCCACCCTGAACATGTGACCAAATGCTATCCCGAAACTATCACATAACACATTTAACACAGATTTAAAGGTTCATTGGGTATAGGCTACATCCTTAATTCATCCAGTCACTGTTTTATACAGCGATCAGCCATAACATTATTAGCACTGACAGGTGAAGTGAATAACACTGATTATCTGGTTATCATGGCTACTGTCCGTGGGTGGGATATATTAGGCAGCAAGTGAACATTTTGTCCTCAAGTTGTTGTGTTAGAAGCAGGAAATGCAGCGTGAGGACTGATTGACTGAGGGCCAGACGTGATTGATAGACGACTGGGTCAGAGCATCTCCAACCGCAGCCTTGTGGGTGTTCCCATCTGCAGTGGTCATTACTATCAAAAGTGACCAAGGAAGGTAAAATGGTGAACTGCGCACATTGGGAGCGAATGTGACCCGGTGTGGTCCGATCACAGCTCACATGGCTGCAAATGCTGGTTTTGATAGAAAGGTTCACGAACACACAGTCCATCACAGTTTGTTACTATAGAGGATGCAACAACGTAACACCAGGAGCCCAGTTGGTCATAATTGTTATGTCTGCAGTGTATATGTAAACAAATTGGAAAAAGGAAAAAAACAGAGACTGCCAAAAAGATTTCCAATTAGATCTATTTTGTTTAACACTCATTATGTTGTCTTAAGTCTTCCTACTGTCGGTTAGTAGCTCAGTCTGAGGACTTGCCTTGGAACTGGAGAGTTGCTGGTTCAAGTCCCACAGACCACAAAATATGTTAGTGTGCATCTGGTAGCGGGAGTGCTAGTTCACCTTCCTTGTGCTCTGCCAGAGGTGCCTTGAGGAACCTAGCCCGAAAACCTGTCATGAGCTCTGTAATGCAGTCTCATCACTTCACCATCTCTCTCATGCTCCACATGTGCATTGAAGTGGTGTATAAAAAAATAAGATTGAAAAAACAATTTCCCCCTAGGGGATCAATAAAGTATATCTTCTTCCTCTTCTTGTGCCTCAACCTTTTCAGAAACAGCTGAGTTACCATAGCAATTAGAAACTGGTTGCATGTTGTGATAAAACAATACCAAAAAACATATCCAAAATATATCCTGTGGATTTCGGGACACTATATGAGTTTTGGCGGTTGTCACAGTCGTCGCCATATGCCGTTTGCACAAACACCTAAAACAGTATTTGATTTGCAGCAAACAAGCTTTACAAACGCAACACCTGTAGAAATCATGGCGCCTTCAGGGTTGGAGCCTATTTGCTCTGAACCATTAACTCAGCCAAACTACCACACAGCCTCTCCCCCCTGTCCTTACCTGGAGAGAGGTGGAGAGCGAGGTTGGGCGCCACGAGACCACGCGCCATGCGGTTAGTACTGGCTTGGATAGTAGTGGTGCGCGAGCTACGCAGCCGCGGGTCCCGTCCGTCACAGAGGCTTCTCGCGCGCTAAACCCGAGACAAACCGGACCGACTGAACAGGGAGAAACACGAGGAGAGAGAACAGAGGAAGAGGGAGAACAGAGCTTTCCTCAACGAGTCTTTTCTGTGAAGGTAAGAAACATTGAATCTGCATTAAAAAGCATTTAGTACATATCAGTGTTATGGTGGATATTTGGCGCATAGAAACGCGCTGTTGATAGTTTGTTTTTGATGCCTCGCATGTTTTGCTTTATGCCGGTTACAGTGAGGCTGTGTGTTTGTTTGTTGAGTTCACTCACTTAAACCACACTTCTACGTGAAGAGTGGAGTACACTATTCATTTTTTACGTCATTGTAAGCCAAACTGCTCAATGTAAGCTGCAGTTTTAATTGACTTTTAAAGATTTCTATCTTATATATATGTCGGGGGTTTTTTGCCTTCTGGCGCACCACTTCAACACAGACACACTGAATGTCTCCAAGTTTAGAGGCACGCAAAACTAAACTCAGAGTAGTTATTTTCAACTCTTTAAAATTGCGCCCAACTACAAGGGACGTGCAGATGGAGATGTAACGCACTGTAGTCCGAAGAGACGCAAATACTCGCGTTTAGGTGGAGAGAAATGGAAAGAGAGAACGAGAAATAGAGCTTATTTGTGCTCACATTTGCTTAACTTTGGATACTCCGGCGCCAACAAAGACGTGGGCGAACGGGGTTTGGATGAGTTTGCCTTCATTACACTGTCGTTTAACACCGCGCTCAATGGACTAAGTTCATTATTGACGGACTATGCGGCAGCAGCGCGTGGGACTGGTTCAGCACCGCGGACAGCGAGTTGAGCTCGAGCCAAACGTTAACCGGCAGGCGTAAAAGCTCGCTGTCATTACTTTACCGAGGATGTAGCCGACAGAT